CTTCTCAATAAAATTATGTCTTAAATATCTGTTAAATTGATGTTCAGTGTTTCCATAATTTTGACTACATATATATAGCATGTAGCATATTTTTGCATCAAGTAGCACGATTATATATCCTTTCTTATATAACTTGTTTTTTTCCTGTAATTAGTAATTGCCTCATTTAAAGACATTTTCTTAATTTTCTTTGAATACCTGACTAAACAGTCCCACATCCTCAACAGCTCTGTAAAATGTCTGTCACTGGATTTTAAATAACTATTAAACATTTTAAATAACTATTTATTAGTTAAGTAACTGTTAAATAACTGAAGAACTACATCCCAGGCCCTCAGCCCCTTTCAGTCCTAGATAGTCCTTGTGTCTCCACCCTCCTGTTACAATCTGGATGCCTCCAGCATGGGCCTGTTGCTGTTCTGTTTTGTTGGAATTTCCATTCACCATCACCCTGCAGATGCTGTCTGCCTGTCTTAGGTCTTGTTTCCTCAGTCTCTTGTGTCCCAGTGTCCTCCTTCTAAAGCGAGTCCTTTCGTGTGAGTGTGTTGTGTGTATAATGTATGGACTTGGTTTCTGAGTCGTGTCTGAAGCTTTACAACCTTACAGACATAGCCTGCTGGCTCCTCTGTCCATGGGGATTCTCTAGGCAAAAATACTGGAATGGGTTGCCATGCCCTCCTTCAGGAGATTTTCCCAACCCAGGGATCAAACTCAGGTCTCTGGCATTGCAGGCAGATTCTTTACGGTCCGAACCATCCACAAACAGCTTCCTAAGAAGGCTGGTTGAAAAGGACATGTCTAGAGGTCCTCCCTGTCTAAACTGTCTCTTTTCTACCCTCTCACTTGATGGAGAGTAAAATTTTCCCTTGGAAATGTAAAGGGCTATCTTCATTATCTTCTTCCTTCCATTTGAGAAATATGATGCCATTCTTGTTTTATGTTTGTTTAAGTTTTGCCTGCAGCCCAGAGCATACAGGATCTCAGTTCCCTGACCACAGATGGAACCCTCGCCCCATGCAGTGGAAGCAGAGAGTCTTAACCACTGGACCACCAGGGAAGTCCCAGTTTGATGGCATTCTTATTCATGCTTTTCTGCTCATTACCACTTCCCCCAATCTCCATCTCCACCCCCAACAGGACTTTTACAATCTTCTGGTTTTCACTAGTGTTTGAAATTTTTATGATGATGAGTCTTTTGGTTTTTTTGAATTGTTCAATGATTTTAAATTTGTTTTTTGTCTTTTCTTCTGTGGGCTTGAATATTCAAAGGAACTTTTATGCAAAAAAAAAAAAAAGGCTGATATTCTTCAGCTTCAGAAAATTCTCTTATTTTATTGACACCTTTCTTCATCATCTTTTCTGTTCTCTTTTTCTGGAGCTCCTATTATTTAGTTGTGAGGCCTCCTGAATTGGTCAACTAATTTCTTAAGTTTTTTTCTCTTACTGTCCAATTATTTGCCATTTTGCCCTAAGTTTTGGATTCCCTAGCTACATCCTCTGCTTTTCTACTAGATTTTGCATTTCTGCCATCTAATTTTTATTTTCCTAGTATTTTTGTTGCTGTCATTCTCTAAAGATTATTCTTGTCAAAACTACCATTTTGTTCCTGTCTTACAATATTTTCCCTATTTCTCTGAGAACTGTAATGACTCCCCCCCCCCACCCCCATTTTTGTTCTTCCTCCATAGTTTCAGTGTCCTTTTTTGTTTTTTTACTATACAGGTTTATCAGAGGTGTAATTTGTATGCCATAAAATTCACCCACTGTGTCTAGTTCACTGATGTTTAGCATATTTCTTGAGTCAGTCAACCATCACTTCAGTCTAATTTCAGAACATTTCCACCGCCCCACAAAGGTCTTTGGAGCCTGCTTGCATCTTCATTCCTAACCCTAGTCCCAGTCAACCAGTACCCTGGCTTCTGTCTGTATACTTTTCCCTTTTCTAGGCATTCCGTATAAATAGAACCACAGTGTATGCCCTCTGTGTCTGCTTTTGCATGTTACGTGCTGTTTTTGAAGGCCATCTTTTTGAGCATCAGGAGCTCATTCCTCTCTGTTGTTGCAGAGTGTTCCCTTGTGCTGATGGATCACATTTTGTTTGGACAATCAGCAGTTGACTAGACATTTGGGTTGTTTCCACTTTGGAGGAATTAGAAACATCTTTTTGTCATTTTAATATTTTATTTTGAACTCTGCATTTCACATTAGAGGATTTTTTTTTCCCCCCAAATGTATGACATTCTCTAGCAGTCTGCTCATACTTAGAAAGGAAGGCCAAAAAAGTTACTTGGAAGCTGTATGTGTACATGGTGGGAGGTGGTAAAGGGCTTTGTTGTAATTCTTTGGGGAAATCCTCATATCAGTGGTTTTCATCCTTTTCTCTTGGGCTGGTGGAATTTTCCAGAAAAGGCTCTGCCGATGTTTTGGCTGGAGGATATAATTCTAGCTTCCAGTATTCTGAGAGTTGAAAGGAGGGAGAAGGCTGAGATATCCCAAATTCTAGGACATAACTCTTACTTGATCCCTCTATTATCAGTGGGAGATTCCTGCCTCTTTCAAATTGTGCCTTGTGTCCCTGAGTCCAGAGACCCTCTGTTTTAGTATCTTTTACTGGGGCAGCTCCCAGAGTAGAGGAGGAGATATGGAGATGCTTTTCAAATAGACTTTCAAATAGTCTCTCTATTTTTAGCCCTACCATTATCTGCACCCCCCCCTCCCCGCCCCACCCCACCGCCATTCCCACAGTTATCTGGTGCCAATTTCTGAGCCTCCAGGGTTCTGCTCTATAAAGCAGGATACCTCCCAGCTTCACCCACTGCAAGTTTAGGATTAACTTTCTTGGACCCGCTAATCCATCTACCACTTTTCCATCTTCTTTGCAGTATCCGGCATTTTACTGCTATTGTGTTCTTTCCTGTTTTCATTATGGGTTTATGCTTCTATAAAAATCCTTTTACTCTCATTTTCATAGCATTTTCATTGGGAAGAGAGTATTTATTCAACCAGCCGTCTTTAATGAGAATCACAATTTAATTCTTTCACGAAAAATGCAACTTCCAATTCCAAATAATTTATGAAAATACCTCACCCTCAAGGAAGTGCTACATAAGCCTCCACTCCTTAACTGTGTGCTGCACATAGCAACTTCTGTCCAAGAGCACAGAGCAGGAAGGAGGGGTGAGGGAGGAAGGGCTTTATAGTGGAGACACCTGATAAACCCTCCCACAGCCAGGTGATCAAGGTCTACATCAACAGTGATGAGTCATGCAGATAGTATGCACCCTTCGTGGTCCCAGTCCCCCAAACCTGTAACCTCAGTCTAATCATGAGAACACCAGATAAATCCCAATCAAGGGACAATCTACAAAGTACCTGACCACTACTTCTCAAGCGGCTTCCCCAGTGGTTCAGTGGTAAAGAATCCACCTGCAGGGCAGGAGCTGCAGAAGCCAAAGGTTTGATCCCTGGGTCGAGAAGATCCCCTGGAGGAGGGCATGGCAACCCACTCCAGTATTCTTGCCTGGAGAATCCCATGGCAGAGAAGCCTGGCAGGCTATGGTCTGTGGGGTTGTAAAGAGTTGGCCTGACATGATTGAGCATGCATGCACTACTTTTCAAAACTGTCAAAGTCATCAAAAGCAAGAAAAGACTGGAGAACTGTCATTACTAGGAGGAACCTAAGAAAATATGACAAATAAAGGGAATATAGTAACCTGGGTAGGATCCTGGAACAACAACAACAACAACAAAAAGAGCATTGGGCAAAATCCAAGGAAATCTGAACAGTGTATTGACTTTGTGTGTGTTAGTTGCTCCGTCATATCTGACTCTTTAAGACTCCATGGACTGTATGTAGCCTAGCAGGCTCTTCTGTCCATGGAATTCTCCAAGCAGAAATAATGGAGTGGGTCGTCATTTCCTTCTCCAGAGGATCTTCCTGAACCAGGGATCGAACCTAGGTGTCCTGCATTGCAGGTGGATTCTTTACCATCTGAGCCACCAGGGAAACCACTTTAGGTAGAGTAGAAAAAAGTAGAAAGTGTTAGTTGCTCAATATTTATGTAGCAATGTTCATTAATTGTGACAAATGTATGAACTATATTAATGGGGAAACAGCAGTGGGACATGTGGGAATTCTTTACTATCTTTGCAACTTTTCTATAGATGTTAAAAGTATTCCTTTTAAAAATTTATTAAATTTATTAGGGGACTTCCCTGGTGGTCCATTGGTTAAGAATCTGCCTTCCAATGCAGGGGACATGGGTTTGATCCCTGGTCAGGGAACTAAGACCCCACATGCTATGGGGCAACCAAGCCTTCATGCTACAACTACTGAGCCTGCATGCCGCAACTACAGAGAAGCCGAGCGCTGCACTAGAGAACCCCATGCGCCACAGTGAGGATGCATAACAGCCAAAATTCTTTTAAATTAAAAGTAAATGAATCTCTCATTTATACTTTGGGTATTTATTGACACTGCTATGCTGACAGAAAGGTACCAGAAATTACCATTTTACAATTTGACTCATATTGACCAAAACTACTAGCAATCTGTTCCAATTCATGTATTTGAACACTTCATTCATTCTCTTTTTCAAATATTTCTTGAGCAAGTACTATGTTCCAGGAAATAAATCTGGTACCAAGCCACAGAGATTAATAAAATATGATTCCTATCCCACAAGAAATTTGCTTTCTGGAAACACAGACTGTCCTAGAACACTTCTTATCTTCTACTTCTCTGGAAGCAAACCAGCTACAATGAACATATTTTGCTATCCCTATGGCAACCCAGTCCAGTATTCTTGCTGGGATAATCCCACGGGCAGAGGAGCCTGGTGGGCTACAGTCCATGGGCTCACAAAGAGTCGGACACGACTGAGAGGCTGAGCACACGCACGCCTTACAAGTACGAAGAAAGTAATAGCTGAAACTCTTCTCTAGCTTTTGAACTCTTTTGTTCAGGTGAGACGTGGAATCCATTAAAACTGCATTATCAGTTAAGAAACGTGCGGGAACGATTAGCTAAAAACCTGGTAGAAAAGGGCGTGCTGACCACAGAGAAACAGAACTTCCTCCTCTTTGACATGACGACGCACCCCCTCACCAACAACAGCATTAAGCAGCGCCTCATCAAGAAGGTGCAGGAAGCCGTTCTCGACAAGTGGGTGAACGACCCTCACCGCATGGACAAGCACCTGCTGGCCCTCGTCTGCCTGGCCCACGCCTCCGACGTCCTGGAGAACGCGTTCGCGCCCCTGCTGGACGAGCAGTACGACGTGGCCACCAAGCGGGTGCGGCAGCTCCTGGACGTGGACCCTGAGGTGGAGTGTCTGAAGGCCGGGACCAACGAGGTGCTGTGGGCGGTGGTGGCGGCCTTCACCAAGTGAGCCTGCCCCGAGCCACGCGTCCCCCTTTCTCTCCCGGGAACCAGTCGTTTTTCTTCTTGGACTTCTGGTTTTCTGCAGTTTGTACTTCCCACACTGCAATTGGCTTCTGTTTCATGAAATGGTGGGTGGCTTTTCCTGTTGTGGGTGTGTGCATGCAAGAAGCTGTGGGTGTGAGAGAACTTTCTGCTCAGGTTTAGAAGCCAGAAAGTTTTACTGCCTTTTGGCATTTCATTCCTTCTTGAGCTCAAGAGAGTTGCTATTCTTACTGTAACAAGTTTTGGATTTTTGTTGTGTTTACTTTCAAACTACCTCCAATTTTTTGTTGTTGCTTTTTGGGTTTTGGGGGGGTTTTTTTGCAAATTTTTAAAAATTAAAGTACAGTTGACTTACAGTGTTGTGTTAGTTTCAGGTGTACAACAAAGTGATTCAGTTGTACATATATGTTATTTTCAGATTCTTTTTCCTTATATGTTATTGTAAAATACTAAGTATAGTTCCCTGTGCTATACAGTATGTCCTGGTGGATTGTTTTATATGTAATAGTGTGTATATGTTAATAAAGTGAAACTGAAAGTGAAGATCGCTCAGTAGTGTCTGACTTTTTGCGACCCCAAGGATACAGTCCATGGAATTCTCCAGGCCAGAATACTGGAGAGGGTAGCCTATCTCTTCCCAGGGATCAAACGCTGGTCTCCTGCATTGGAGGCAGATTCTTTACCAGCTGAGCCACCAGGAAGCCCAAGAATATGGGAGTGGCTAGCCTATCCTTTCTTCAGCGGATCTTCCAGACCCAGGATTCGAACCAGGGTCTCCTGCATCGCAGCTGGATTCTTCACCAACTGAGCTACCAGAGAAGTCCCATATGTTAATACCAACCTCCTAGTTTACCTCTCACTACCCCTTGGTAGCCATAAGTTTGTTTTCTGTGTTTGTGGGTCTATTTCTGTTTTGTAAAGTAAGTTCATTTGGATCATTTTTTTTTAAGAGTCCACAATAACCAATATGATATTTGTCTTTGTCTGATTTACTTCACTTAGTGTGATAATCTCTAGGTCCACCCATGTTGCTTAAATAGGTTTTTTCATTCTTTTTATGGCTAAGTAATATTCCATTGTATGCATGTACCACATCTTCTTTATACACTTCACTGTCAGTGGACCTTTAAGATTGCTTTAATGTCTTGGCTTCCATGTCATAGTACTGATACGAACATTGGGGTGCATGTATCTTTTTTTTAAACTACCTCCAGCTTCAAAAGCACATCACTAGCATCTCTTGAGTTTAAGTTTGTCCACAAGTACAAGTTCTTCTGTATTCTTAACTCACCAAAAGTAAAAAGCTGTACGTATCAGGGTATATTTTGGTAAAGTTCAGTCAAGATACATACCTTAACAGTTTTTTTGTTGGTATTAAGCTAAGTGAAATGAGTCAGAGAAAGACACATATTGTATATCACTTATATACAGTATCTAAAAAAGCCAAACTCATGGTAACAGTGAATAGGTTACCAGGGGCTGAGAGTAGGGGAGATGGGGAGATGTTGGTCAAAAATTACAAACTTCCATAAGATGAATGAGTTCTGGAGATCTAATGTACAGCTTGGTGATTATAGTTAATAATATTGTATTATTTACTTGAAAGTTTCTAAGAAAGGAGATCTTAAATGTTCTCACCACAAAACAGAAATGGGGTGCTCACTTCGGCAGCACATATACTAAAATTGGAACGATACAGAGAAGATTAGCATGTCCCCTACGTAAGGATGACATGCAAATTCGTGAAGTGTACCATATTTTTTATAAAACTCCTAGAGGAAAACATAGGCAAAACACTCTCTGACATAAATCACAGCAGGATCCTCTATGACCCACCTCCCAGAATATTGGAAATAAAAGCAAAAATAAACAAATGGGCCTAATTAAACTTAAAAGCTTTTGCACAACAAAGGAAACTATAAGCAAGGTGAAAAGACAGCCCTCAGATTGGGAGAAAATAATAGCAAATGAAGCAACAGACAAAGGATTAATCTCAAAAATATACAAGCAACTCCTGCAGCTCAATTCCAGAAAAATAAATGGATTTGGCCCAATCAAAAAATGGGCCAAAGAACTAAACAGACATTTCTCCAAAGAAGACATTCAGATGGCTAACAAACACATGAAAAGATGCTCAACATCACTCATTATCAGAGAAATGCAAATCAAAACCACAATGAGGTACCATTACAGTCAGGATGGCTGCTATCCAAAAGTCTACAAGCAATAAATGCTGGAGAGGGTGTGGAGAAAAGGGAACCCTCTTACACTGTTGGTGGGAATACAAACTAGTACAGCTGCTATGGAGAACAGTGTGGAGATTTCTTAAAAAGCTGGAAATAGAACTGCCATATGACCCAGCAATCCCACTTCTGGGCATACACAACGAGGAAACCAGATCTGAAAGAGACACGTGCACCCCAATGTTCATCGCAGCACTGTTTATAATAGCCAGGACATGGAAGCAACCTAGATGCCCATCAGCAGACGAATGGATAAGGAAGCTGTGGTACATATATACCATGGAATATTACTCAGCCATTAAAAAGAATTCATTTGAATCAGTTCTAATGAGATGGATGAAACTGGAGCCCATTATACAGAGTGAAGTAAGCCAGAAAGATAAAGACCAATACAGTATACTAGTGCATATATATGGAATTTAGAAAGATGGTAATGATAACCCTATATGCAAAACAGAAAAAGAGACACAGATGTACAGAACAGACTTTTGGACTCTGTGGGAGAAGGCGAGGGTGGGATGTTTCGAGAGAACAGCATCGAAACATGTATATTATCAAAGGTGAAACAGATCACCAGCCCAGGTTGGATGCATGAGACAAGTGCTCGGGGCTGGTGCACTGGGAAGACCCAGAGGGATCGGGTAGAGAGGAAGATGGGAGGGGGGATCAGGATGGGGAACACATGTAAATCCACGGCTAATTCATGTCCATGTATGGCAAAAAACAGTACAATATTGTAAAGTAATTAGCCTCCAACTAATAAAAATAAATGGAAAAAAAAAAACAGAAATGGGGTAACCATGTGATGGAGGTATTATCTAAGGCTATGGTGGTCATCAGGGCTTCCCAGGTGGTGCTAGTGGTAAAGAACCCACTTGACAATGCAGGAGATGTTAGAGACTCGGGTTCGATCGCTGGCTCAGGAAGATCCCCTGGAGAAGAGTATGGCAACACACTCCAGTATTCTTGCCTGGAGAAACCCCATGGACAGAAGAGCCTGGTGGGCTACAGTCCATAGGGTCACAAAGAGTCAGACAGGACTGAAGCAACTTAGCATACACACATGGGGTCATCACTTTGCAATACTTAAGTGTATCAGATCAATAGGTTGCACACCTTAAACCTCCATACTATTGTATGTCAGTCATGTTTCAATGAAGTGAGAAAATTTTTTCTTTCTATAATCTTATCATATATTTTCACTATTAAATCATAAAAGGGAATTGCTCCATAAAGTTAATTGGATTATGTACACCTATTGATGCTGTGTATAGTGTGGACTTCACCTGAATCACTCCTAGAATTGCTGTATCAATACACAGCTGTTACCATAGCTTTATAATAAATCCCAATATCTGGGAGGATCTGTCCTTCTACAAAATTGCATTGGTGATTCTGAGCCCTTTGCTCTTCCATATAATTTTAGAAACATCTTATCAAGTTTCTTGAGCCATCCTATTGGGACTTTGATTGGTATGACATTGACTGTACAGATTTATTAGAAGGAACTGACATCTTTATGACACTGAGTCTGTCTAGGGACATAGCATAACTTTCTGTGGTAAATTAAATACAACTCTACCTTATTTGCAGCTCCTTCCATTAAGAGAGAGAGTCTATTCTGCCACCTCTTGAGTATGGGCTAAATTTGCTCTCCACTCTTATCCAACAGAATGTAGCAGAAGTGACATCTTGCAAGTTTCAGAGCTTGGGACAAATGAAGTGATGTGGTGTCTGCCTCCATCTGCTTGGAATGCTGCCTTGAGACCACCATACCATAAAGAAGCCTGGGGCAGAAGGGCCTATGGAGGAGAAGCTCAGCTGTCCCAGCTAAGTTCAGCAGCCCGCCAGCGGGCCTGCCAGCTGCAGGCAGCTGTGCGTATGAGCCTCACTGAAAGCAGCAGAGAACTGCTCAACCAAGCCAGGGAATTACATGAGATGGCATTGATTTAAGCTGTTAAGTTTTGGGGTGTTTTATTCAACAACAAAGATTAGTCCGGGCTTCCCAGGTGGCGCTAGTGGTAAACAGCCCACCTGCCAATGCAGGAGACATAAGAGATGCAGGTTCAATGCCTGGGTCATGAAGACCCCCTGGAGGAGGGCATGGCAACTCACTCCAGTATCCTTACATGGAGAATCCCATGGACAGAGGAGCCTTACAGTTTACTGTCCATAGGGCTGCAAAAGAGTTGGACACGACTGAAGCCACTTAGCACACACACATGCAAAGGCTAGTTTAAAGAGAAACTGGTACCTAAAAATGAGGTGCAGTTGCAATAAAAACCTAACAAGTGTCATGGTCTTAACACTGGGTAGTAGATAGGAGCTGGAAGGGTAGCAAGGAGACTATTGGAAGAAGCTGGAAAGTCGGTGAGGAAGCTACTCTTTTTTATTTTATTTTATTTATTGGCTGTGCAGGGGCTTCTCACTGCAGCGGCTTCTCTTGTGGAGCACGGGCTCTAGGTGCACGCAGGCTTCAGTAGTGAGGCACACAGGCTTAGTTGCCCAGCGGTCTGTGGGATCTTCCTGGACCAGGGATCAAACTCGTGTCCCCTCTATTGGCAGGTGGACTCTTAACCACTGGACCACCAGGGAAGTCCAGGAAACTACTATTGAAGTCTGGAAGGATGGTAAACCACATCTTGTGCTAGTGAAAAGTTGGCAAGATCATTACCAATGAACACCATATAAAGCAGAAGAACTACCTGGTCAACCTGTAGAA